TTCTTGTTGCCGCTGAGGGGAAGCGGCGTCAGCTCCGCGGGCCACCGTGGAAGCTGTCCTGCGCCCGCGGGTAAGCCACGGGATGGTCCCTGTGTGTGGGGATGCGTCCCGGAGGGACACCCTGCTTGGCTGGGCTGGGGCAGTGCCGAGATGGGGACACTGGGTGGGCTCCGGCCACTGGCTCGCCCACCCGGGAGACATACTTGGAAGCAGCCCCGGGCTGGACTGTCCGGGGATCTGCCGGTGCCATCGCCGGCAGCGGGGCAGCCCGTGCGTGGGTACCGCCGCTCCAGCATCCGTGCACGGTCCCTGCATGGGAGGAAGAGAAGCGACTCGGTGGGGGGATTTCGGGGGGCAGGATGTGATTATCCCCTTGGGGCGAGGTCAGGGGGGAGGATTAACACCCCCTTTCCATGCATGGCGCCAGGGAAGAATGATCGTGGGGGGTTTAAAGTCCCTTTCTGAGGGAGCGCCCGTACCCCGGTTGTTGGCTGTTCCCTTATCGGATGCTCTCTGCCCGCTCCAGGCTGGGGTCTGGAGAAGGTGGTCCATGTGGGGACAGGTACACGCGTGTCTGCCGCGGCTTTTCCTCCTCTCGCCTCGGTGGGGTTGATGGATGATGGGGTTCGTGGTGTTGGGGATGTCCCCCCACTCTTGCTCTGGAGCCCGCTGAGGGATGGGGGAGCGGATGCGGCGCAGGCGGGGGGTGCAAGAGCCCTCGACAGCATCCAGCTTTGCTCTGACCCCTCTGCAGATTGTGCAGGGCTTTTCAAATCGTCCTTTTTAGTAGTCGGCGGAGAGACAGCGAGCTGGCGCGTTCCGCTCCCGGAGCATGTAATTAGGGAGCGGGGAGCTGCATGCTGATGCACAGCTCGGCAAGAGGAGGAGGAAGAAGGTGGGAAGGAGCCAGGGCCGCTGGAGCCGGAGCCGGTGGAGGCCCCGGAGAGGCCGCTGCAGGGATCCAGCCCCTCTCGCACCCCCCGAGCCCCCATCCCTGCCCCTTGCTCCGGCTCAGCCCTCTTTGCTGCCTCTCCCCCCGGTCAGGGGCTTTCGGGGTGCCCCTCACCCCGCTTTTGCAGCCTTCCTGGGTTCGCTGTTCCCGTGGGACGCAATGATGCCGGGAGTCCTGGCGGCACTCAGCATCCGGCACTGCAGAGGGGCGGATTTGATGGGAACGGGCCGCGCTGGGCACTGTGCCCGTGCCCGAGGGGTGCCCGGGGGTCCCACTCCCCCTCTCCTCCACCCCGGAGCCGAGAGCTCCAAGGATGCGCCCAGGCACCGCCAATGCCGGGGCTGGGATGGGTGCCGGGTGCTGGATGCGGTCCCCCCAGTGCGACTCCGTTGCTTTGCCGTCGTGGAGCAAGCGCTTGAGCGGCCGGCCAAGGGCAGGAAGGAGTTTTTTGCCTGGTAGCAGCGAACCCCGGGCGAGAAGTGCGTGTTATGGGGGGCTGTTAGGTGAGGGGAGCTGTGGGAAGGCAGCTCTGGGGGCTCAGCACGGTGGTACCGGAGAAACCGCTCCGGCTGTGTTTGCCGTCGGTGCCGGTGTTTCGCAGAGGGTCCTCAGCCGGTGGTGCCCGGGGACTCCGGGACGATGCCCTCTGCCCCACACTGCAGAAGGACCGAGGTGGTTCCTCTGACATCTCTCCCGTGGCGCTTGCCCTGGGGGATCTCGGGGCGTTTGGCACGTGGCAGATGCGCCGCCACGACCTGTGCAGCGGTGACACGGGGACCCGGCTGACGCGGGGCTGGGGAGGGACCGGGAGCTTCACCCCTCCCTCAAATTCTGCCGCCGTCTTCTGGGTACGGGGGTGACGGTCCCCCTGGCTGAGGTCAGGCGTGGTGATGGAGCCGTGCGGGAAGGGAGCTGGAGCGGTTGGGGTTTGGAGCGGGAAAGGGGGAATGGAGCTTTTGGAGGGGTGAGGGTGTCCCCGCGGCATTGGCGGAGAGCGCTGTGTCCCCGCCTGGCTCACGGCAAATCCCGGGTATGACCTTGAGCGGAGGAGTTATGTCTGTAGCACGCGCTGGAGTCCTGTCTCACATTAATAACGCAATCAGTTGTTATAAAGCTAATATGTTGAGCTGATAAATAATTAAGGGAAAAGGAAGAAACCCTCTATGATTTGCTTAAGAGGAGCTTGGGAAGGAAGGCCGGGGGGGGGCGGGGGAAACGGACAAGGAGGGAGATGAATAATGGATCAAGGTTAAACGGTGAGCGAAAAAGGAAAGCCTTAACGCGGTGACTCCCTGCAACACACATGCTGCAGGTTGCCAAACTAGTTAGCGGCGGCAAAGACAGCCCGTGGGCTCAGCGCGGGCACGGGACCAGCCCAGGGCTGTGTGACGTGGGCTCAGGCGGCTCGAGCCCCCCAAAATCTGCTTTTTGGGGTGGGGGGTGATGCCTTGGGGCTGCCGGGCAGCAGGCATGGGGCTGGGGGCGGCGGGAAGGCCCCGTCCCG